TATGGTGAGAATGAGCCAAACCCCTACTTTAAAAGAACACACTGCCCAGCCCGATTTTCGCACGTGGTCACTTGACTGCTTCTGCGGACCCGCAGATGCGGCCCTACTACCGCTTCTACGGCCTTTCACTAGGCCCTTACTCTGCTTCTGCGCTTCCCCTTCCGCAGGTGCGGTCCCGCTTCTACGGCAAGATGACCATATCTGTGGTCCCAACATTTCCCCTTCTCAACCTTATTTGCGCTCCTTCAACCACTTCTGCGACTCCGCACCTGCGGCCAAGACCTCACAGGTGCGGTTACACCAGATGACAGCAGGCTTCAGCTCTTTCTCCCAACTCCAATTCGATCCGTTAACCACCCGAAATCCACCTGAGGCCCCCGGCACCCCATGCAATCACACCAATCAATTCCAAAACACATTACGAACCTAGTCGAGCCTTCAAATCACATCAAACGACGCCAAAATCATGAATCACACTCCAATTCGAGCTTTATGAACTTTAGAATTTGAAACTTCTTCATTCGATGCCGAAACCTATCAAATCATATCCGATTGACCTCAAATTTTGCACACAAGTCATATTCGACATTGCGGACCTACTCCAACTTTCTAAATCAGAATCCGACCCCAATATCAAAAAGTCCACTTCCGGTCAAACTTCTTAAAACCTTCAAATTTTTAACTTTAGCCAAATGACTCCAAAATGACCTACGGACCTCCGAATTTACTTCCGATCGCGCTCCCAATACTGGAATCACCATATGGCACTATTCCTAGACGGACATCGATAACACTGAAATGCACTTCAACCCAAACTTATGAAATTTCTTCCAAAAAGGCTAACTTCCATAATAGGCGCCGAAATGCTCTCGGGTCATCCAAAAACCGATTCGGACAGATGCCCAAGTCCAAAATCATCATACGAACCTGTTGGAACTTTCAAATCTCGATTCCGAGGTCGTTTACTCAAAAATCCAATCTTAGTCAATTCTTTCAACTTAAAGCTTCCGAAATGAGAATTTCCTTCCAAATCAACTCCGAGCTTCCCGAAATTCAATTCCGACCACACATACAAGTCATAATAGATGAAGTGAAGCTGCTCATGGCCTCAAACTACCGAACGACGTTCTAGAGCTCAAAATGATCGGTCGGATCGTTATATTGAAAAACTTGTCCAAACACAAATTATTGCTCAAAAGTATTTTTCAGAGTGATTAGCCAAACACAAATTGCTTCTCTAAAAGTACTTTTAAAAAAAACACTTCTCAAAATAAGCTGATTTTTCCAGCTTGGCCAAACAGGCTATTAGACATTCTAATGGTTTAATTGAAAATTTTGATCGCGGTTTGTTTTTTATATATTTTATTATCCAAGAAATAGTACACTTTTAGAACATAAATGACACCGAGGTATATCACTCAAATAGATGTTTTTGTGTGTGTACGCTTTAAATATCCATTGGACAATTTTTCCTAATGCATATGTGACCAAAATCTAAAATATTGAGGTCTTGCTTCTGTGGTCTTCCATTACGACTACTAAGGGGAACATTCATTCAATATCTCTAAAGGCAAAAACAAGTTAAATAATGTCTTCTCAATTATTTAAATTTTGAAGGTTGTATTTTACTCAATACCTGAAAAGATGTTTATTCTAACTTTTGCTCGAATCAAGAGAATAATCCAATATCTGTACTAATTAGAGTATTCCACAATCCACAATCGACTCCCTCACTCGTAAGTCTTAGTCCAAACCAATGAAGACCAAATCGCCCAAATTGTCCCATGGGTGATTTGTGTCACTCGAATTCTGCCCGAGGTTCACCTCCGTGCGACAGTCAAGCCCAGCCTTAACTTCAGCCTTTCCAACACTTAGTTTTATTTTAGGGACATTTTGAACTTAGAAAGATTTAGGCAGGAAAAACAGTAAATAAAGGCACACACGATATACATAAATTTCTTCTCAACTCGTATTAATATGTGAATACAAGAACACAATAGCCAATCCTATGGCCAAGACAACGAATTCCCTAATTCCCTACCCCAAAACGATTTTCCCACCCTTAGGAAATAACATAGACGATTTTGGCTTCACAATGCCTCAAGACTAAGTATTCTGCCTTGTTTAGGACAGCCTAGGCATATATTTATAAGGCAGGATTATACAATCAGTTGACAAGCCCCAACTAATGGGCAAACATATTAAGACAAGTACAAAAACATGCCCCCATTTTTAGGCCATGATCAGCCATGTCTTGGATGTGGTTTGTAACCACCAACTGCCTCCCATGTGCCTTGCACACGTTTTTGAACTGTTGCTTGTGCACTGCATGTGCCTGTTTTGCCTAGTTACTGCGTGCCTAAGGCTGGTATTGTGCCCAGCCTTGCCCTTTAACACTGCTCCGCACCAATGTCATGGCCACAACTTGTCGCATACTGACTTAGCCGCACACGTTGATTGCCACAGCTGCCCGCTTATGTCAAGTCGCCCTCAACTTGATCAAATTTGCCCGCATCAATTGCCATTGCTTATCTCGCATTACCTTGCCTTATCTTGCCATGTTTTTGCCCCTGCTTTGACATGGCTTTGCCTTGCCATTGTTATGCCAACCCGCACGTCCAAGTAAAACGTGCCTTGCTTCCGATCAAGGTGCGTTTGTTAACCCCGCATAGTCCATCATGCCGAGCTGCCCATCATGATGTTGCCCAATTTTTCAGGTTGTGTGCCAAGGCCATCATAGAAATCCTTGTCACAACTCACACCTGCCGAGGACCTTTATCAGGGGGCTAACAAACCACCCCCACCTGAAGAATTCGTCGTCCTCGACGAAGTAGTTTCCGCATTTTTCAGCACCACCATTGGCCCTAAATATGCTGCTGCCTGCTCATGTTCTTTCTCATTCGGCTTATCTTCACTCTTTTCTTCAGCAAACAAAGTAGAAAGCCGTTCAATTTTTGGACAGTCCTTCGCCATGTGTGGTCCTTTGCAAATAAAACAACCATCAAACCTGCTATTTTGTCCCTTGTTTGTCAAAGGTCCAGCACATTGCTTTCCCCTTTCATTGCCATTGCCCTCAACAGCATTACCCTTGTCATTTCCAGTTTTCCTCCACTCTTTTGCCTTGTCCTTGTTCCCGTTTTTGGACTTTGAAGTAGTAAAGAAATCAGAACCATCTTGTCCCAACCGAAAATCACCCAACGCATCCGCAACAACGATGGCACTGTGAAGGTTTTTCACATTCTGCCTTCGGAGTTCCATCTGTGCCCACGATTACAACCCATAAAGGAAATTGTGCAACTTGTCTTCCTCAAACATGTTGCTTATATCCAGCATCAAAGAACTGAAATCTTTGACATAATCCCTGACCGTTCCAGTTTGTTTCAACTTCTTCAAACGATCTCTAGCAATCCAGCCCGCATTGCTAGGAAAGAATTGATCCTTCAACTCTTTCTTCAGCCCTTCCCAAGAGTCAATCTTCGGCCTACCAGCACTTACATCATCTTCCATACGCGTCCTTCACCAAATTTTTGCATTGTCCACCAAGTACATATTCATAATGGTGACTTTATCTTCATCTAGTACTTTGGAAGCCTAAAAGTACTACTCCATATCCCACAGGAAGTTTTCGAGTTTCTTGGCACTCCTTGCACTATTGAACTCTTTAGGCTCTGGAATTCTGACCTTGGTATGATCTGCCCCACGCTATGCTTCATCATTGCCAACAGCACGACACAACAACCTATTTTCCGCTTTCAGATATGTGTACTCCTGGCTCAGCCTATACATCTCGGCCTCAAGATAGGCGAGACGAGTTACGATAGTAAAAAATTGATCACCATCAACAGTTCCGACGAGTGCCTCTAATGCATCAACCTTGTCCCTCAGTTCTACGTTGCCACCAGCCATCTTTAACAAAATTCAGCCACTGAACGTTGTGTCTTCGCCCTGATCTAGCCACGCTCTGATACCAGTTGTCACAATGGTGATTTATGTCACTAGAATTCTGCCCGAGGTTCACCTCCGTGCGGCAGTCAAGTCCAACCTTGACTTCAGCCTTTCCAATACTTAGTTTTATTTTAGGGACGTTTTGAACTTAGAAAGATTTAGGCAGCAAAAATAGTAAATAAAGGCACACACGATATACAGGAATTTCTTCCCAACTCGTATTAATATGTGAATACAAGAACACAATAGCCAACCCTATGGCCAAGACTAAGAATTCCCTAATTTCATTCCCCAAAACGATTTTCCCACCCTTAGGAAATAACTTAGACGATTTTGGCTTCACAATGCCTCAAGACTAAGTATTCTGCCTTCTTGAGGATAGCCTAGACACATATTTATAAGGCAGGATTATACAATCAGTTAACAAGCCCCAACTGATGGGCAAACATGTTAAGACAAGTACAAAAACGTGCCCCCATTTTTAGGCCATGATCAACCATGTCTTGGATGTGGTTTGTAACCACCAACTGCCTCCGATGTACCTTGCACACATTTTTCAACTGCTGCTTGTGCACTATATGTGCCTGTTTTGCCCAGCTGTTGCGTGTCCAAGGCTGGCATTGCGCCCAGCCTTGCCCTTTGACACTGCTCCGCACCAATATCATGGCCACAACTTGTCGCACACTAACTTAGCCGCACACGTTGATTGCCACAACTGCCCGCTTATGTCAAGTCGCCCTCAACTTGATCAAATTTGCAAATTTGCTCGCATCAATTGCTATTACTTGTCTCGCATTGTCTTGCCATGTCTTTGCCCTTGCTTTGACTTGGCTTTGCCTTGCCATTGTTATGTCAACCCGCACGTCCAAGTAAAATGCGCCTTGTTTCTATTCAAGTTGCGTTTGTCAATTTCGTATAATCCGTCATGCCGAGCTGCCCATCATGATGTTGCCTAATTTTTCAAGTTATGTGCCAATGCCATCATCAAAATTCTTGTCACACTCACACCTGCCGAAGACCTTTGTCAAGCGGCTAACACAAATGTTCCTCGTAACGTATCTCAAAAGCAAATATTCCCAAACTACAAGCTGCCCGCCACTGCACGCACCGCACCCCGTCCCTTATATACTTCTTCACACTCATCTCAAACAAAAGCTTTCCTCTTCTCTCCCTCTCGCTCTCTGCTCCAATTTCAATCCTTCTACTCATATTTTTCCATATATTCCGCATTTTGCTGAGGGAAGGAGCGAGAGAGAGGGGGAGAGGCAGTGCCCGTTGCCCAAAATATATAATTATTCGAAATGTCACTTCGACCCAGCAGTAGAACAGAGGTGAGGAAGAAATCTTATAAAATTGGGGTAGATGCGGATGAGGCTCGTCGTAGGAGGGAAGACAATTTGGTGGAGATCAGGAAGAACAAGCGAGAAGACAATCTCCTTAAGAAACGCCGTGAAGGCCTTCTTCACTCCCAACAGCTTCCTGATGCTTCTCAATCCCCTGCTCTTCTCGAGAAAAGAGTATGTTGTATCTTCATTATATTTGAACTCCTAATAATAATTGTTGTAATTGAGGCGTACTTGATTGAATCTTTCGACTGTTGCACTGATCTTGTTTTTGGATGCCTCGGAGAATGTACGGTACTTTGAATTTTATGACTAAACTAGTGATCTTTTGTGTCGCTTGATACTTGATTTGATTTATGTTCAGTAACTGCTTTTCGTTTTCGACTAACTGGGAGTTGAGTATTATGAGTTTACTGAATTCAGCTGAATCCCCGAGCTCTTTTGGTTTGAATTTTGTTACTATGAAGCTGAGTCCATTGCATTTCCACCTCTGCTTCGTGTATGAATTTTGTTTCTTTTTTCTTTTTGGGGTATCATGTTTTATTTTGATTGGATAAGCAAAGTAGTATTGGAATGATTTGGATGGAGTGGAATAGTTTCAGATGATTAGTACAGTCAACCTGACTTCTGTTTGGGATTTAGGCGAAGTTGTGGTTTTTTGGTTTGTTGCTTAGAAAACTAGAAATAAGAAACAAAACTAGCATTATGAGTTATTTTCCAGTATCCTCCTTCATAGTGTCTTCTGATTTCACTCTGGTTCCTTTACAATCTTTGAGCGGTTATATTTTAGACCAATGAGGATTTTGCCTCTCTACCCGGGGTAGGGGTAAGGTCTGCGTATACTCTACCCTTACTGGGTTATTGTTGTTGAGGATTTTGCTAATTTCCAAATTGGGACCAACTTCATGGAATGGTATAGAAAGTAGGCTAATGTATTGCATGGATGTTGGAATGGTTCCCTACCAAGACATACGAAGAGCTAAAAAGTGAAACTATACCCTTTAAAACATTGTCGAAGATTTAATCTTCCCCAAATCACTATGAGTTGTGGGTTCAAATGTTTGTAATGCCAATACTCAGGGATGAGGGATAATCCTAGCTCATTTTATTTGATATTTGTTTTATTTTCTTCTGGAAGACATGGATACTGTGGCGTAGTAGTAGTTATTGTTGTTGTTGCTGGAAGACATGGGTACTTTGGTCATAGTGGATTGCAAAGATCTGAATGAAAATGAACATGTGCATAGATATAGTAACAGTTTCGATCAGCTTCTTGGGATTATGTCTATGCTATACTAGAAATGAAGAAAGGAAGATTATATTAATGTTTGTTTAGCTTATTTAGTTTTAGCTAACACATACCTTAAAAGAGGGAATCACACTTGATAACATTTCAGAGGATGGAAAGCCATTAGATTACATCCTTGCCAAAAGAAGTGACAAAACCACATGTAATATTCCTATAAAGTTTTGAAAGTGCCTTGGAGAGGGGTGGTTGTTGATGTGAAGAGAAAAAATAGAGCAGAAATGGAGAAGCGTTGCATGCAGTCGAGAATTCACTGATGGGTATTAAATGTCACAAACAAAATATCATTTAAGAACAAGTTACTGAATGAGGAATCATGAGACTTAGAAGTGGACGCAGATATCCAATGGAAAGAAATGATAACTTACCTTATATATCCATGCAGGACCAAAACCTTAGCTACGGTCATAGATTTAGGCATGCAGAAGTAAAGCATGTTGTGAAAAAATATGGGTTAGAAAAGCCTGTGATCTAAATGGTATTCCTATAAAGTTTTGAAAGTGCCTTGGAGAGGTTGGAGTGATATGGCTTGCATGCTATTATAAGTTTTTTGATAAGCGACTATATGTTATATTAAGGAGCAGTAGATTCCAAACGAGCAGACAAAAATTACCTTGTTATGATATGCAGAACAAAGGAAAGTTGTATGAGCTATATCAAGAATTTATTATTNGTGATATTGAACTTATGACTTCCACACGATAATAGTTTGAAAAATGTGTAGAACATGACTCAAGGACTAGCGAAGGTGATAGAGACCCAACTTATGTTAAAGAAAATGGAACTCGAGTCAAACTTAACTCTTAAAGTTAGCTCATAAGCTGATCCAAGACTATATAAGGAGACATCAACTTATTTCACCAAATAATATGCGACACTCTAACACTCCAGTACATGGCAATGGCTGGACAACTAAAACATTGGCAGCATAGCATGGGGCCCCAACATTGGGTAACCAAGAATAGTAACAAGTATAGATCTGGTACCATGTTAAGAAATTTGAAAACCTCAAAAATCTAGTCCGTCAGGTGAGGATTGCCCAAGATTATTTAAGCTTGTCTTTTTTCCCACATTATTTCTTTTTAGTCTGTTCCACAAAGAATGACAATTTTATATTTCGAAATAATTTAATTTAACCTGTCCATTTTACCGTTAATGAATGTTATGACATATTTAGGACCACAAGTTTCAAAAATCCTCATTTCTTCTTAAACTTAGTATCGAGTCAAACTACGCCACATAAATTGAGACGAAGGGAGTACTCTACTTATATGAATTTAGTACTAACTAATCAAATTGCAATTAAACTACCTAATTCAAGTATTAGATATACAATAATGCCGATATTAATCCAATTCCTTAAAGTTGAGATTTTAAAGAACTAATGATGACCTCTCTCTTTGCATGCTTCATTGCTTTAAGCAACTAAGCGATGGCATTTTTGATGTATTTTTTTTTTTCAGAAAATTTTTTCTCCTCACCAACCAAATATTGGAAAATGTTTTCCATGACTTCGGTCATACCAAGCACACTTGAAGCTCAATACGACTAGTTGAACAATCAGAATTTGGAACTTCAATATAAGATGTAAAGACACTGTTTCAGCATGTAATATATGTAGAAAGATTATTTCAGCATAGTATTTCAAGAGAGAAATTATATTCACTTTCCGTATATAATTCCACTGCATAATGAGTAACAAAGAAGAGAACTAGAACAAAAGAGTGTAGATGCAGAAAATTAATCGTTAAAGCATAAGATAAGCAGAAAGATTGGAGTAGACATTTGGCTATTGTGAGTCAACAAATGAAGAAGAGGCAGGGAGATCTATGAGTAATTTGGATTTGCATAGTCTATTTCTAGTGTCTGAAATATCATAACTTTTTCCAATAAAATGGAGATCAACTTGTGGTTTGCCCCATTTGATGATTCTCAATTCTTAAAACATGTGAGAAGCGTATGGGTGACAAATATTAGTGAAACTGGGGGCAAACATTGAGAAAGCTTAGATAGAGAATATTGAAAAGATGAAAAGTGATTAGCTTACTCAATTTCATCCCCTTCTATTTTTGTCTCATTCAAACTTGGTGTTCTTTTTTATGAATGCTATGATCTTGGTCATAACTCTTAATAACTTGTGTTTTATAGCAGTTGGAAAGTATTCCTGCTATGGTCCAAGGAGTGTGTTCGGAAGATCCTGCTACACAAATCGAAGCAACTACGCATTTTAGGAAGCTCTTATCAATTGGTAACACTTGGTTCTACAGGCAGTCTCTTAGATCTTTATGTAATTGTTCAAATGAACTAGTTTTCTGTTACCTATAGAGCGCAGCCCTCCAATTGATGAGGTGATTAATGCTGGAGTTGTTCCTCGATTTGTGGAATTCCTCGGGAGGCATGACCTACCTCAACTGCAAGTATGTGTTGCTTGTTTTTCCTTTATTTTTTATGTTGCATTTAGTTATGAAACATCTTGAGTCTGCTTTGATCTTCCCATGTGCAGTTCGAAGCTGCATGGGCTTTGACCAATGTTGCATCTGGGTCTTCAGAACATACTCGAGCTGTGATCGAACATGGAGCTGTCCCTAAGTTTATTCAACTTCTAAGTTCAGCCAGTGATGATGTGCGTGAGCAGGTAATTTTGCTTTCTCATTCCAGATTATATTTCTTCGCACTTAAGTTTTCGGACTCAAAACTAGCTTCCTCTTGTCGTAGAGAAGTTCCTCTTCTATAAAGTTTCAAAGACTTTGATGTTCGTAAAAGCATAGAACTATGAATGGTAAATAATGTAGGAGGTTTGAAACTTTTCCTGATTTTCTTCAGTAATTTCTGCATGGTAATATTGTGTTTCTGTTTCTCCAAATGATTGCTATTTCAAATTTCTACAAGCGAGCCCTTTGTCATTGTGAACTTCTGTCTTTTAATACTTTTTGTTGATTTGACAAGAGAGGGCTGCTCAAGTAGTAACATCCTCCACCCCCAACCTTCAGATTGGGGATTCAGAGTTGTTAGATAGTTATGTGCAGTGTTATCATAGGCGAAAAGCGCAAAAAATCTCTAAGGTACATTGGGGCTTTAAGCGCAAATAAAGCATTGGCTTTAATGAAAAAAGGCACAAATGGAGAAAAAATACAAATATATATGTGTAGTCCAAGACTAATAATTACTTATAACCATGAATAATAAATACATGGATAAAAAAATTGATTTTTTTAACAATAAAGTGAAAGTCAACTGTTTAGGTTTGCCTCTTCAAGATTACACTCATTGGCAATGAAAAGTATATTTTAGAGCCTTGATGACAACACTGAAGCGCCCGCTTAGCGAGGTGAAGCGCTCAACATGTTTTGAGCCTAGCTTTAGGTCTTAAGCGCGCGGCTTTGACAACACTGGTTATGTGTAAATAGTCTTAGTCCCATATGTAGTAGGAGTAGAGTCCTAGTCCTACTACATTGTAGTAGGAGTAGAGTCCTAGTAGGAGTAGAATATGTATTATATATAGGGCTCATTGTATATTGGTAATAAATTTTTCTCACGTGCATTCTCACATGGTATCAAAGCTTCAGTGAGAAAATTATCATTGTGCGTCATTCTAGTGACTTCCGGGAAGAAAGATCTCATCGGCGTGCAATTTTCCGGCAACTTCGTCTTGTTCCCAGGGTTCATCACTGCTACTATGGTACTGTGCATATACAAATACCACCATCATATCCGAAGCCCTTGTGCGACCAAACCCCAGAAATCCCAGTCCCATCGGAACAGAAAAGTCAGTCACTGTGCGTCTTTCCAGTTGACGACTCAAGATTGATTTGCGTTATCTCCTCATCGGTAAGTGTTGTGCGAAAACCAACACTACCATCTTGTTCGGAAAAGTCAGGCGACAAAATACTAGTCAATCGCTTTGGCAGAAAGTCCCTCACGTGCCGCCAGAACTAGGGTTTTGGCGAGCTACAATAACTTTTCCGGTGCGTGTAAGCCATTCCAGTCAGTTTTTGATAAAAAATCTTCAGGACAACTTACTCGTCCAATGATTTTGAGCCTAACCATATAAATTACATCAAATTCTAACAACTTTTATTTTTTTCTGCGTGAACAACTCACTTTTCTCTCCGAACAGTAATTTTCCGGCGTGAATAGTAATTTCTAGAAAAATTTCTGTTTTCTGGTGGTGTTGTAGAACCTATTTTGTAGTGTGGAATTCGGCTTAGTCTCACTATTTTCAAAATTTTCCCACGGTAACTTTTCGGCCAACTTCTGTTTATCAGCAACCACCTGGTTTTGTTGCTCAGGGGGAGTCTAGTGGCCTTGTATGTCGAATGATTAGCTTGCAGATATTTTTATCAAGTCCCTCACTGGTCCTTGTATTAGTTACATATGTAACAAGTTCGGTACATATGATTTGTATGCACCGGCTTAAGGAGGAGTGATAGATAGTTATGTGTAAATAGTCCTAGTCCCATATGTAGTAGGAGTAGAATATGTCCTAGTCCCATATGTAGTAGGAGTAGAATATGTTCTAGTCCTATATGTAGTTGGAGTAGAATATGTATTATATATAGGGCTCATTGTATCATTATCAATAAATTTTTCCCCCGTGAATTCTCACAAGAGTCACCAAGTGAGCAAAGTGGGTGAGGACCACAATTGACTCATGTGAAAAGGGGATTGGGGTTAGGGTAGTGTAGGTTAATGAATGCAAAGAAATTGTTTTATTTTTAGAAATTTATGAATGAATCTACATGTATGCCCATATACTGAACAGGCAGTCTGGGCTTTGGGCAACGTTGCTGGTGATTCCCCTAGTTGTAGGGATCTTGTGCTTGGTCAAGGCGCACTCATGCCATTGCTAGCTCAGTTGAATGAACACTCAAAGCTTTCAATGTTGAGAAATGCTACATGGACACTCTCCAACTTCTGTCGAGGCAAACCACCAACACCATTTGAGGCGGTAAGAGGACACAATTTATGCTCTTATAATGAGTAGTATTTAGCGATTTTGATATTGTGAATCTTGCTAGGTTGGTAGAATTTTCTCCTAGAATGTCTTGTCTCACAATATATTTTTTTAGGTCAAACCTGCATTGCCAATTCTTCAACAGCTTATCCACATGAATGATGAAGAGGTTTTGACAGATGCTTGTTGGGCCCTTTCTTATCTATCTGATGGCCCAAATGATAAGATTCAAGCTGTAATCGAGGCGGGTGTCTGTCCCCGACTTGTGGAGCTTCTTCTGTATGTTCATTTACCTCTACTGTCACTATTTACTTAGCTTAGTCTGCACTATACAGGGTTGACAGCATGTCTGAGAATTGTTCCAGCATTCAAAATTGTGACATTTTTGTTATTATCAAGCAATGTTTGATTGCTGAACTTTAGTGCTAACCTTCATTTTTTGTTTTCTTGTCCTGCAAAGTCATCCATCACCTACAGTTCTTATACCTGCTCTTCGGACTGCGGGGAATATAGTCACGGGTGATGATGCTCAAACACAGGTAGTACAATGCTGTCTTCTAAACAAAACTATGCCATACTGTTATCTGGATGCCATGTCTGAATTATATGAAAACATTTTTGTTGGCATGTTATCCCAAGAAGTATAGGAATTTGCTTAGTACTCCCTCCATTTCAATTTATGTGACACACTTTCCTTTTAGTCTATTCAAAAAAGAATGCACATTTCTATATTTGGAAACAATTTAACTTTAAACTTTTTGTTTTACCCATTTTACCATTAGTGAGAAGCTTTTATAGTCATACAAATGTCATGGCCCCACAAGGAACAGAGGATTTATGAGTTATGCACCAAAAAAAAGTTATCTTCATCATATTTTTGTTTCAAAAAGAAATTACAACAAACCTTATAGTGAAGAGCCTAGAGAAACTCTAACACCCTATCCTCGTACTAGGATATGAGGTTTCATGTTAATTAAGATTGTTTTATTGACTCTCCTTCTTTAGCTCTAGTTTTTAAACAATTATTTTTTTAATATTTTTCAGTACATGATTGACAACCAAGTCTTGCCATGTCTCTATCAATTGCTATCTGAAAATCATAAGAAAAGCATCAAGAAGGAGGCTTGTTGGACAATATCTAATATCACCGCTGGAAATAGAGCCCAAATACAGGTATATGATTCCATTGCACTTGTCCCCATTTTGATTTCATAAGCCTTCATTCACCATCAAATCTCTGCACGTAGTGAGTTGCGTTTTTCCTTGAATTATTAAGTCCCACAGAGTACTGCTGTTTGGTGTAGTCGAATACCAATTATTACTGCATATTTTACTAAAACTTCTGTTTATTATTACTTTGGAGAAGTGACGTAAGATGTTCAATTTTGAATGCTTGGTAATTTTGGTGACAGATTTAGCATATGGCCTTGCAAGCATTTCACTTCGCGGAGTCTAGGATTATCAATATGTAATTAGATCTTTGGCAGTTTTCCTGAAAGATGCTTTTAAGTTACTCCTTTTATCTCTCTGTATCAGAAAGTATTTACTCCTCTCATCCCAAATCAGCTGGCCTAGTTTGTCCCCAGGGCTATGGTCTAGTAGTAAGAGCCCAACTTGTGATATGTGGGTTAGGTGCACCTTACGAGTTCGAATCTTACCATAAACAAAAGTTTAGTATATAATTGGGGAAGGGTAGAAAGGCTGGCCTATTGTCCACCGAGTTTCGAATTGTGTGCCACTCTCCCTCGAGGATTTCTCGGTTATACAAAAAAAAAAAAGTGACCTAGTTAGGAGTTGGCTGTGAGTAAGTACAACGGAACTTTGGATATGTGAGTATTCAGTATGCGAAAATGTAGTTTTTTTTCTAATTTTTAGTATGTTTTGAAGAATATGCACAAAGTACTTGCACCTATATCACATATAAATGATCCATATACATAGGGTCACACAGGTATTAAGGAAAATGTTGAAGTTTTATTGTATGTGACTAGAGGTTGATCCAAATTGATATAAATTTAACTTTTCATGAATCGAAATGGGTCTAACGAGTCTCTTTTAAAGCTCCATCATATTTTTCTGTATACTTTAATAGTATTTCTTCATTATGGGCTACCTGTTGAAGTTCTTTCCTCGAACTTTTATAGGCAGTTCGCACCCTGAACCTTCAATTCAGTAGTCTTTTCATTTATATTGTAGTATTAACTTTTTTGCGATTTTGAGATAAAGGTATGTTCACTACTCTAGTCTGCAGCATCTTCTCTGATCCTCTTGGGGGCTTGTCAATCAGTTCTCTGATTGGTAATATTCTGACCACTATAGCCCATAGGTATTCTTTTGTGTCCTTAGCTGACTAGAAATCCTTACTAGAAAGTTTGCTAACAGCTTAGTCCAAGCTCTGAATAGAATGGAAACAGCCAACTGCAATTGACCTAAAGCTTAGTTCATGAATTTACCTTCCATTGCCTTGGGATTGTAGATCCTGGTGTCGTCACTCTCAGCAGAACCGACTACTCCAGCCGATGGAGGATTTGTTTTGAGTGTTGGCTGCTGACTATTGGTGAAAACTATTTAATTTTAATGGACTGCATTTTGCTGCTTAGCACAAAAAAATAAAAATAAAAAGCATGGATCCCAAGTTTTATGAGGATCCATGTTCAACCGGAGTTGGATTAGCTTCCAGGATAACTGTTTCTGACAATCATCAGAAGGTTCTTTTACAAAAAAGAGTTTTCTATAAGATTTTCTTCCTTTTGTCCAGAGGTTTTTTCCCCCACTTCTTGAAACAGGAAGCGTCAGCATTCCTATCTTTTCTCTTTTGTATGACTTTTTGGTACTAATGCAGCAATGTATGCCCATTTCCTTTTCAACAGGCTGTTATCGAGGCCAATATCATTCTTCCCTTGGTACACCTCTTGCAGCATGCAGAATTTGATATTAAGAAAGAGGCGGCATGGGCTATCTCAAATGCTGCTTCTGGAGGATCGCATGACCAGATCAGGTATGTCAACATATCCAGATGCTCTTTGTTGATGCTATATTTCCATCACTAGATCTGGGTTTGCAGAAGTGAATCTTGAAGCTGTTTCTTTGATGATTTGTGATCCTTTCATATTGTTCCGGTGACAAGAGACAGCTAGTTCTAGAGCTTAGATTACAGGGACAATAGATATTAAAAATAAATAGCTAAATGAGGACAAACTTTTCATTTTTTTTCTTCGGGAATATTCATACTTTACCCCCCCTAAACTTGTCCCAAAAAGTCACTTACACGCGCAAACTTTACAGGCGTCCTTTTACTCCCTTATTCTTGTTTGGAGTGGAACTACTACCACCCTGAGACGTATAATACCAGATTCATCGGGTGAGGTGCGCGCCACATCGGCACTCAGCAGTTCATAAATTTTTAATGCTTCCCTCTTCTTCTTTTTTTTTTAACACCCTTTTTCTTCTTTTTATTACTCTTTTTTACACTAATTAACTCTAATTAACCCTTAAAACCCCTCAATAATTGTCATCTCCTTTACACCCCTAATAATTGTGGAACTGTGACAAGAACGTTAAGATTGCTTCCTCACCACCAAATAGAACAAAATTTAAGATTGAAATTGGATCTTTGAATGCTATTTGCATTNAAGTAGATGATAAGCAATATAATGATGATAATGGAATACAAGATTGGGGTAATGTTGCAGAGACAAGTGGAGTTGAGGAGAAATATTATGGTTTAATGGAAAGTACTTCAAGCTCACATAGGAGGGAAAATAAGTAGCTACAAATCTATTCCTACGCGGTGAAGAAGAAGAAGTAGATGATAAGCAATATAATGATGATAATGGAATACAAGATTTTGACAATCTTGTAGCTATAGAAGTCTAGGATGTTGATCCATTTATATTGTAGTGTTGATTTGCTCGTCTTATTGAGGATTTTTGGCTATCTACTTTTTAGTGTTTAAATTGAATATGTGCTTATATATGTTGTCTTCGTACAAGGTATATTTTGGTATTTTTTTTGAAAATCTCGCTTCGCTTCGCATTTTAAGCTAATCGGGGCCTTGTCACTTCACTTCATGCTCGTCCCAACACTACTTCGGAGGGGTCCCATGCATAAAAAAAGGTTTGGCGGGATGGGGGAGGTGAAACAATAAAAAAGGACAATGTATAGGACTTCAATTAAGATGATTTTTTTTTTCATTTTTTTCTTCAATTAAGATGATCATTAACCCATGGAAGGTAAAACACCTCAAGGAAGAATTTTATTTTACAGATAATCAGTAGGCATTTGAATGAGCAAGTTGGGTATATTATCAGCAGTTTAGAAACCATCCACATTTCAAACAGAGAGGGTCAAAAGGCATCCTTCTCCGTCAAGGTCCTTGGGATAAGAAGGGGGTCGGATAGAAGGGGCTTCTCCTTTATGCAAATTGTGCATCAATTTTAAGTGAAATTATGTTTGAGCAACGCTATTTGATTTATTCTATTCCCGTTGCAGGTTCTTGGCAAGTCAAGGTTGCATTAAGCCACTTTGTGATCTCCTGATCTGTCCGGATCCCAGAATTGTTATTGTATGTCTGGAGGGGCTTGAAAATATATTAAAGGTGGGTGAAGCAGACAGAGAAGCAGGCATGAATGGTGGAATTAATTTATATGCACAAAGGATTGATGAATGTGAAGGTTTGGACAAGATCGAGAATCTCCAAACTCATGACAACAATGAGATATATGAGAAAGTTGTAAAGATCTTGGAGAAATATTGGGCTGAAGAAGATGAAGAACAAAATCTTTCTGATGGTTTTGATAGAAATCAGCAAGGTTTCCAATTCGGAAACAACCAACCTAATGTTCCTGCAGGTGGCTTCAAATTTGGATAAAAGATATACTTCATCTTTTTCCCATGGAGGCGACTTCACTCGTTGAGCAAAATTTAGACAAGATTTTAGGTTTTCTTTTTGCTATGGGCCAGAGTTTTTGGTCTGACACATAGGCTTTTGAATTGATCGTTGAATTTACTGAAATGTAATGCTTTAGTTTGTTGTTGAAATCTTCATTGTGCTTTCAACATCATGTTGCAAGAGTTCATGCGATTGAATCTTGGTATGACATAAGGATATTCTTATTCTCAAAGAGTTGAAGTCATGGTTATGGCTGGTTTACTTAAGATACAACAATTCACCACTTATAAATCTATTGTCCAATCAAAGTTAGTTCCAGTGTCGAGAAGTGAACTGAGATGGAAGCACACACCCATATAGGGGGTGATGTGCACAAATAGCCACTAATAGCACCTGTCTTTATTTTAAAGCCAGTGTTTTAAATGTCTTTAGGCTTTAGCCACTGGTTTAATAAACTTATACCTGATTGGACAAAAATACCCTTCTGCTATAACGTATACCTACACTTTTATTAACGAGCAGCAGCAGCGCATGTAACTACTTCACTGTGATCGTCGAATTTGAAAGTATAGAATTGCAGAAGATTCTCTTCCGATGTCAAACTATAGAATTCAACCTTTTCGTTCAAAAATCGACATAAATTTACAGTAAGTTATATATTTATGTGTTTGTATTGATTTTTATTTTGACATAGTTATAACTTTTTCCATTTCTATTGATTTTTATACGGTAAGTAGAAATTTGATTTTTTTTTTTTGAATTTCTGGATTGATAAGGTTAAGGACATCGCGTCCTGTGATAATTCTAGAAACATTGAGCACATAATATTAAGGACATAGTGTCCTAATTTTGCAAATTGAATTGAAAAAGTAAAGGACACAATGTCCTTAACTTTGTTGTTGTTCTTCTGTATATTAAGGACATACTGTCATAGTTTTGCAAATTGTTTTGAAAAAGTTAAGGACACTTGGTCCTGAAGTTTGAGTTTCAAGTTGAAAATTTCAGGACACTTGGTCCTGAACTTTGACTTACATATTCAATATTTAAGGACACTTGGTCCTTAACTTACAGTTATAAGTTAAAAAGTTAAGGGCAGGAAGTCCTTAACTTTAAGTTTCAAGTTCAAAAGTTAAGGACACTTGGTCCTGAACTTAGACTTACATGTTCAATAGTTAAGGACAGGTAGTCCTTAACTTCAAGTTTCAAGTTCAATAATTAAGGACACTTCGTCCTGAACTTTGACTTGCATGTTGAATAGTTAAGGACACTTGATCCTTAACCTAGAGTTCCAAGTTAAAAAGTTAAGGACAGGGAGTCCTTAACTTCAAGTTTCAAGTTCAAAAGTTAAGGACAGGGAGTCCTTAACTTCAAGTTTCAAGTTCAAAAGTTAAGGACAGGAGTCCTTAAGTTTGACTTGAAGGTTCAAAAGTTAAGGACAGGCAGTCCTTAACTTTGAATTCCAAGTTCAAAAGTTAAGGACACTTGGTCCTTAACTTGGTCTTGAACTTACAATACCTGTTCTTAATTATACAAGGATTTCTCTATAAAATATGTCCCGAGTTTCCCATTCTCTTGACTTGCAGGATGGAAACAATATGCATTATAGTTGCTTTTAATGGTAGATGGACTGAAGACTATAAGTATCTTGATCATCAAACAAAGCTTGTTCTAGTACCTGAGACAATTTGGTTTGAAGATTTCATTAAACATATCTTTGAAGTTATTGAATTAGATAGAGACAAGTTTGAAGCAGTGATATGGTTTGATATCAACCTTGGAACAAGCAAGGGAATGCTTGTATCCAAAGATTTAGATCTTCAAACATGTATAGAGTTACTATAAACTCATTTACTCTTCAGGGGTTGTCGTTTCATTGTTGATATTTCGGAAAGAGTTTTTGGATCAACAAGCAACTTTGAACATGTCAACAGAGAAACTCAACATGACAATCAAAACAAATGCCAACAGATAATGGAAATAGATATGGTTGAAGCTCAACCAATAACTGAAGAGGTGCTTCAAACACATGTCAACAGAGAAACTCAACATGACAATCAAAACAAATGCCAACAGATAATGGAAATAGATATGGTTGAAGCTCAACCAATAACTGAAGAGGTGCTTCAAACACATGTCAACAGAGAAACTCAACATGACAATCAAAACAAATGCCAACAGATAATGGAAATAGATATGGTTGAAGCTCAACCAATAACTGAAGAGGTGCTTCAAACACATGTCAACAGAGAAACTCAACATGACAATCAAAACAAATGCCAACAGATAATGGAAATAGATATGGTTGAAGCTCAACCAATAACTGAAGAGGTGCTTCAAACACATGTCAACAGAGAAACTCAACATGACAATCAAAACAAATGCCAACAGATAATGGAAATAGATATGGTTGAAGCTCAACCAATAACTGAAGAGGTGCTTCAAACACATGTCAACAGAGAAACTCAACATGACAATCAAAACAAATGCCAACAGATAATGGAAATAGATATGGTTGAAGCTCAACGAATAACTTAAGAGGTGCTTCAAATATTTGATTCTATTCAAGTAGAAGGACAAAGCATTATAGAGATTGACAATGAACAAGCTTTGGGTATTCAAGTCTTAGAGAGTGCACCGATAATCGAAGAAGTTGCTGAAAAACCTCTACTCAACTAACTAGACGAAGGTCAAATTTGAAATAAAAAAAATCCCCAACTACGATATTAAGAGAAAATGTTTCGTTGGATGAAATAAAAGTGGGATCAGTATTTGATAAAAAGAAGAGTATAATTAACTGTTTTTCGAATATAGCAATTAAAGGACATTTTGAATTCAAGGTTGTTAGATCAAGCTCAACAAGATATTCGTTGAAATGCAATGATGATAGGTGTGGGTGGTGTGGGTGTGCTTTCAAAATTAAAGATTCAACACTGTTCAAGATAGTAAAGATTGAGAAAAATCATGACTGCTCTATTAACACTATGAAAGCTGATCAAAGGCATGCAACTTCAAAGTTGATTAGTGGTTACATTATCGACAATCTTCGAGACCCAAGGTTTGAAGTTACACCAGCTTTTTTCATGGCAGAGATGCAAAGATTGCATGGACTAGACATTGGGTATCACAAGGCGTGACGTGCTATTCAACTTGCTTCCGCTTTAATAAGAGGAACTCCTGAAGAAAATTATGAATTATTGTCTTCATACTTGTATATAATGAGAAGTAAAAACCCGGGAGCATATACTAACATAAAAATAGACGACAACACAGGTAAACAATCAAAAAAAAATTTATTAGTCCGTTTTATAAAATTTAGGACATGCTGTCTTTAACCAGTTAACTTTTGAGCTTGTAACCAGAAGTTCAGGACTGACTGTCCTTAACTTTTGAACTTGTAAGTCAAAGTTAAGGACTACTTGTCCTTAACTTTGAACTTTGAACTCAAAGTTAAGGATTGCATGTCCTTAACTTTATAACTTGTAACTCTAAGTTACGGACTGACTGTCCTTAACTTTTGACCTTGTAAATCTAAATACAAGACTACTTGTCCTTAACTTTTGGCCTTGTAATCTGAAGTTTAGGACTACCTGTCCTTAACTTTTGTTAACCTTATTTTATACTGTATTTTTAGGTTTCTTTATATGTTTTATACATATGGATCATCAATATCTGGTTGGAATCATTGTAGACCAGTGATTGATGTTGATGCAACTATTTTGAAGTCAAAATTTTGTGGTGTTTTAATGATTTCAGTTTCAAAGGATGCAAATAACCAAATTTTCCCACTAGCCTTTGGAATAGCAGAATCTGAAAATAACAATTCCTATGAGTGGTACTTTAGTCAGCTTCGCAATGCAATTGGGAGCCGTGAGAATTTAATTTTTTAATCAGACAGGCATCAAGCTATTGCATATGGCATTACAAAAGCATATCCTGAAAGCCATCATGGGATTTGTATCTATCATTTGGAGCAGAACCTAAAGCGAAGGAAAGTGAAAAGTGAGGTCATAAAACTTTTCCAAAGTGTTGCAAGAGTATACATGAACAAAGAATTTGATCTATACATGTTAGATATAGCAAAAGTAGATAAGAAGACTTATGACTACTTGATGGAAGAACCACCGAAAAGGTGGGCACGTTCTTGTAGTCCACGACGAAGATATGACATGCTCACAACAAACATAGTTGAGTCAATGAATTTTGTCCTATTAGAAGCAAGGGAGCTACTTATATTAAGAATGATGGATTTCATTCAAGTGAAGCTACACCGTTGGTTTAATGAAAGAAGAAATGAAGCAGAAGGAACTTTTTATGATGTTTCTTGTTGGATAGAGGAGGAATTGAAGAAAAAGATAGATTTAGCATTTACTTTGAATGTAAGTATTATGTTCTATGTTTAGCTTATGATTTTAATATAATTTAACATAATGTACTAACTTATAATTTTTCAACATTGAAGGTCTTCCCTGTTGATTCATGGCGTTCTAGAGTTGAAGAAGAAGGAATAACTTTCTTGGTAGACTTAAACAAAAGAACATGTGATTGTTTTCAGTTTCAATTTGATGAATTACCATGCATACATGCAATTGCAGCCATCGAGAAGAGAAATATCAAGAAGTCCAACTTTTGCTTGCACTGGTACTTAAAGGAATATTGGCTGAAAACATATGAAAGACAAATACATTCTGTAGGACATACTGATTCTTGGATTGTACCAGATAGTGTTAAGTCACAAATTATTAAACCTCCAGATTTCAAAGTGCCACCAGGTAGAAGGCAGAAGAAAAGGCATATTCCAGTGACCGAGTCATCAAAAATAATATTCAAATGTGGTCATTGCAGAAGAACTGGTCATAATAGAATAACTTGTATATATTCTCCGGCAATCCATCCATTTTCAAGAAAGCATAGAGAATAGTAGATATATCCACTTATGTTTATCGACTCTTTTAAGTTTTTGCTATAAATTGGATTCATTTAGATTATTCTTATTTGAGCAGATGTCTGAATTTTCAAAATTTCTTTCTGCTTACATTCTTTTTGTTTCTTTTGAGTTCAAAGTTCAAAAGTTAAGGACATGAGTCCTTAAGTTTGACTTGCAGGTTCAAAAGTTAAGGACATGAGTCCTTAAGTTTGACTTGCAGGTTCAAAAGTTAAGGACATGCAATCCTTAAGTTTGAATTACAGGTTGAAAAGTTAAGAACAAACAGTCCTTAACTTTGAGTTCAAAGTTCAAAAGTTAAGGACATGCAGTCCTTAAATTTGAAATACTGGTTCAAAAGTTAAGGACATGCAGTCCTTAAATTTGAAATACTGGTTCAAAAGTTAAGGACAGACAGTCCTTAACTTTGAGTTCCATGTTCAAAAGTTAAGGACTGCCTGTCCTTAACTTTGAGTTTCAAGTTCAAAAGTTAAGGACATGAGTCCTTAATTTTGACTTGCAGGTTCAAAAGTTAAGGACATGCAGTCCTTAAATTTGAATTACAGGTTGAAAAAGTTAAGGACAGGCAGTCCTTAACTTTGAGTTCAAAGTTCAAAAGTTAAGGACTGTCTGTCTTTAACTTTGAGTTTCAAGTTCAAAAATTAAGTACATGAGTCCTTATGTTTGACTTGCAGGTTTAAAAGTTAAAGTTAGACAGTCCTTAAGCTTGAATTACAGGTTCAAAAGTTTAGGACAGACAGTCCTTAACTTTGAGTTCAAACTTCAAAGTTAAGGACTGTCTGCCCTTATCTTTAAGTTTCATGTTCAAAAGTTAAGGTCAGGAGTCCTTAAGTTTGACTTGCAGGTTCAAAAGTTAAGGACATGCAGTCCTTAAGTTTGAATTACAGGTTCAAAAGTTAAGGACACTTGATTCTGAAGTTTCAGTTTCAAGTTCAAAAGTTAAGTACACATGGTCCTGAACTTGGACTTACAAGTTCAGTTAGTCATGAAGTAATACTAACAAGCTCAATGGACAAATCAATACTTGACAGAATAAAGAAATTAATAACATGATGCCTTCATATTACTTCTAAAGTTGTAATTTTTCATAGCTGTGACAAAAACTTATGTTATGCAAACAAAATAAAAGTGCCTTTTGAGGAATTTACAGGATATTTCAGAATTCATATGGATTCTTTATAGCAATTTTCATTACAACTAAACTACATCTCCTTCGGACAGCAAGTTTCATTTTCACTATCATAGTCATCGCCAACATTTTCTGGTGGTGTATCATAACCAAAATTTCTTTTTCACTCACCATGTGCCCAAAGATTTGTGGCAAGTTCTTTTCTAAAGTCTTTTATGTCTTCAGGTTGGAATTTCTCCACATCATTTCCAATCATCAACAACTCCACATACTTGATCAGGAATGCACCACAATCAGTCCTAAGAAAAATGTAAGATATGTAGTCAATTAAACAATAAATCTAAAGTACATATATATTATATAACAAATAATAACACGTACGATCCAGTTTGGTGTGGTGATCTTTGCCACTGAATATCAAATCTGTTAAAGGCATTTCCAAAAGACTTGTGATGTTTGTCAAACTGTGAGAACTTTAGCAAGTGGGAGATCATGCGTGCATACATTTCAATGTGATTCATTCCTGCCTCATATGGCTTACTATATATGGAATCGTACACATCAATCTTTTTCTCATTCAAGTCCAATACTCCCAAAAGAAAATGTTTCACAGCATTATCATCTTCTGAAGGAAGCCGATATGGAAAAAAGATTTTATCAACCTCTATCCAAGCAATTCCACATCTACGACTGTCCCCCCACACATATGGTGTCAGAAACAATTGATTATCACCATACCAAAACTTATCTGTAGCATCTTCATTGAAATCATTATACACAATCACCATATAGTTATCAAAAAGTATATCTGTAGTTGTGCAAAAAAAAGAATGGTCGCGAGGGTGGTAGCATTCCTTCTTTCTCAGATAATATAGGGCAATGTCAATATGCTTCATAAAAAGGCAAAAAATAAAACAAATCCACCAGTCATAAAATAATGAAAAATAATAAATTAAGAATAAAGAAAATAAATGGCTTGCGAATTATCAAACCTTATCATCAAGTACAAAGCTACTATCTGAAAGCTCAAGGAAGAACATTTTGCTACTGATTTTTGATGATACAATTTGTATGGATTCTTTCTCACACCATTATCATCAGCATATATATCAGTTTGTCTCCTGAAAATTTTGAGAATGTCAAAGTTAGAAGTTAGTTCTGAACTTAGCCTTTCAAGTTGAAAAGTTAAGGACACTTGGTCCTGAAGTTTGAGTTTCAAGTTCAAAAGATAAGGACACATGGTCCTGAACTTAGACTTACAAGTTCAAAAGTTCAGGACACTTTGTCCTTAACTTAGACTAACAAGTATAAAAGTTAAAGACAAGCAGTCCTTAACTTATAGTTCCAACTTCAAAAGTTAAGGACACTTGGTCCTGAACTTCAAGTTTCAAGTTCACACATGGTCTTGAACTTAGACTTTCAACTTCAAAAGTTGAGGATACTTGGTCCTGAACTTAGACTTATAAGTTTAAAAGTTAAGGACACATGGTCCTGAACTTTGACTTACAAGTTCAAAAGTTCAGGACACTTGGTCCTAAACTTTGAATTCCAAGTTGAAAAGTTAAGGACCAAATGTCCTTAACTTTGATTTTCAAATTCAATAACACTTGGTCCTAAACTTAGACTTACAATCACAGAAGTTAAGGACACTTAGCTTTAGCAATTTCAATATCAATACACTTAGTCCTAAATTTAAAATTACAAGTTAAGGACACGAATTTAAGCAATTAACAAATAATGAAATACATTAAGGGACTTACTATTTTTTGCGACTTTTTCTTTTCTCCTTGCCCAACCACACAATGAATTTCTTCAATAATTTTTGCATCATATTTGGCATAATACAAAATACATCTACGAGTATATGTTGATTTTATCTAGCTCGAACTCCTGGGAGTATTTTCATTGTGCGCCATCGATGTTCCTGTTTTTCTTTCTTGATCAAAAGGAGATTTCANCGACACAATCAATACATGTCTTATTCATACCGCCTTCTTGTGTTTTTTCAACAAACAATTGAGCTGACCTATTGGTTGCATCATTTTCTTTATCTTCCAACTGCACATTTTCTTTATCTTGCAACTGTTCTCCATGTTCTTCAGTTGCAAGTTCACAAGATTCTGTAAAATATTTACAAGAGCTAACACAATTAGTACTTGTTACTAATCTTTAATTAAAACAAACATGTATAAACTTAAAAAAAATACTGTCTAACCGTTTGCAATTATCAAGATCATCCCAATTAAATCATTATCTTCACTAACATTTTCTTAGCTTCCAATATTGTCGGTAAGAGAGCGAGGTGTAGAGAGATCATATGTTCTATATATGCATTTGGAAACAATCTCACTTATGCTAGTTCCTTCGGTATTTTCTAGGTCTTGAGATTGTACTCCACTTTTTTCTTGATACTCCACTCCAGCTTCTTCCCTTGCAGCTTCAAAAGATTCTGTAACATTTGCAATTAATACCCATTCTAATAGTTCACTAAAACTAACATTCAACATATCATGAAAATTTCATCTAACCTTGATTGGCACAATTTTGAACTCCAAATTTCTCTTTATATGAGAGAGGTGTAAACATACCATATGTTCCTTCTAAGCATTTGCATACAATATCACTGACACTTGTTCCTAATGGACTTTCTAAATCGTCCTAAGATTGCAATCCACATTTACAAAATTTTTTTGTTACTCCTGTCTCTTTTGGATTTTCCTGGTCTTGACATTCTACTACATCTTGAACTTCTACTCCATCAATAGATTCTACAAATATTTGTAATCACAAAAACGTTTATATGTATTATGCTATTTAATATAAATTTCAACGAAAAAAAATTCAAAATCTATATCTAACCTTTCCCAATATCAGTGACGTTATCAGTTTCATCATCTAGATATGCATCTCTAAAATCGCTTTCATACTGAACTTCTGCATGACATCCATATTATCACGTTCATCACCACCTGCATCTTTGTTAATTGTAACAGTAGGCTTTGTACCATGACAATGATCATCAACTCCATCTTTCGTAATTGGAACACTAGATTCTCTCTCTATGTTCCTTTCATCAGGTTTCACATAAATCTTCAACAAAGTTTCACATGAATATCGGGATCGAGGATGGCAAGGGATATTTGTTCAGGTGAAAACCAAAGACCTTATTACCCCCGAATATTTACCGTTTACTGAAAAGTGGAACTCAGCCCATAAGTCTCTTTCCTTCTTGAGTACTTGGAATTTCTTTTGTTCTTTTTCTAATTGCCTATTCCGATCATCGTGCAGTGGTATCCCAAGATCCCAACATAGTCCCTCGCTTAAAGGAGTGGATTGAAGGGATCTGCAGACAAAAGTCATATTTTGAGCATGAATGGCGCAAACTATCAAAGGGCAAGTGGAAGACCCGTTCCCATGGTGAATGCTCTTCCCGAACAAGTCTACCTTCATACTCATACTTTATTTCTACTAAGTCCTTTCTCTTTTATAGGTTTTCTCAAGACCACTGAGCTTTAGCCACTAGAAGAGGATGAGACTCTGTCCTCACTTGCTACCGGACCCCAACTCCTTTTTCCGGCTCAGAGAATATCCTGAAGATGATGAACTAGAGTTTGTCGTTCATGGGTCAGCTATTGACGAGGAAGAATGGGCAGCAACCGGGGAAGGTGGCCGAGAGGCCGATCCCTCTTTAGCTCGGGAGCCAGAAGGAAAATCTGAGGCTATGGCTTTTCGAGAAACTGCCCCTACCCCGAAGGAAATAGCCGTCATCGTGTATTCGCCGTCTCATACAGAGTCCATGTTCGACGAGGCTCAGGTTGATAAAGAGAAGTCAAATGAGATGGCACGGGGCGCAGAAGAGGCCATCAACAAGTTTTTTGATGGCGTGGACATGCGCGCGCTGGAGGATTATTCCAGGATTGGCCACCTGAAGATCCCAAAAAAGGACCTGTCATCGGGGGCAGGCGAGCCGAGCCGAGCCGAGCTCGAGCCCAAAATTGTTGAGGAAGTTCCCTGCTCCGAGCGTGGACCCCGACTGTAAAATAATGGTCGTGTTTACTATCCTGATGGACACCCAGGTACTGTCCGCTCCATTGGGCGTGGCCAACTACCTTCGCTGCCTGGTGACCAAAGAGGACTGGGTGAAGATGAACGAAGTGAGCACTCCGAGCCTCTTCAATGAAGCACAACAGGCACTGAATAGGGTAAGTTTCCCCTTCCTTGTGCCCTTTGTGCATTTTATTTAACTTCAATATGCCCTTATGATTTTATTGTTTTGTTTTTAGGCTTCGGTGCTCCACCATGAAAGTTTCCATCCATCTCAGATGGAAGTCAGCTAGCTCGAGTTCGAGCTCAAGGATCAAGTTCGGCAAAAGGACATGTACAAGGTCCTCAGTGAGCAAAAAGATGAGGCCCTCAAGGATCTCCCTATTCTTTGAGCTGAGCTGGAGAAGTCTCAAAAAGAGGCTTTGTCCGTCAAACGAGAGCATGTCGAACTGGTTGAGAAGGCAAGGATTTTGATAAAAATGAAAGGATACGCGTAGTGACTAACGACATAACCTCGTAGGTCCAAGAGAAGATATAAATGATTGACCAGCTCCGGGCCGAGATGAATGAGCTCAAAGCTTCAGCCGAGACGCCGAGGAGAAAGATGGACCTCCTAGCCTCGAAAAAGGAGGATATAAAAGAGGAGTTAGCGTCGGTCAAGGACCAGCTCCGGTTGGCAAGATAAGGCCGACAAGTGGTCGCAGCTAAATGAAGAACTCCGGCCACAACTGGATTCAGCCATCTTGGAATGGGATGATCTTGGCCGGGAATATACTGCTTTGAAGTCCAAATTAGAGGCAACCTTGATTGATTACTCTGAGGTCGAAGAAAGGCTGGCCAAGTATAAAACTGATGTAGAGATAGTCGAGGCCTGTTTAAGAACGAAGGCCGAGTATGTAAAGCGGTTGTCCCAGAGGGAGACCCTCGAGGAGATTCACGCCCAGAGATTTGATCTATTAGCCAAGATTGAAGAGGCCAAGAGGATTGAGGTCGAGACAAAAGAACTTTATGAGCCTGAAGGTCCCGAAGGTTCCGGTGCCGAGTTGAGCTCCGGTGAAGATTGGGCGGAGAAACCTTAGCTCCTTTTATTTTACTTTTTGTACATTTTATTTTTTGTTTATTTTGAGGCCGTTTTATCGTACCTTTGTATGTGTATATATATNCTAGAGCATCCATTCTTCAGAAGCCCGAACGAGGCCCGATTTCGGTGGTAACTCCGAATTGTTTATGGCTTCGAAATTTTGATAAAAATGAAGACCTTTAAGACACTTGAGTGTTTTAGTCATTATGACGGTGTTTTGCTGAGGGTAGCCCTTTAATAGATTTTAATCATTCGTAAGGGCCTTACTTTCTGAGTACGGACTTCGGACGTCTCCGAGCCATTTTAGGTTGGCCGTAGCCTTTCATGTTCGGTCCTTGCCTAATAGGCTCGGTGCCTCCGAGATTCGGTAGCCCGGGCCATCTAATTTTTTATCGGACGACAGTCTCCGAGTCGAGGTAGCTTGTGGTATTTAGGATTTAGGATTCTGTTATGATGCATCGATGGAGCGAAATGCGTAGTGATATAGTATAAAGAAAGCAAAGATTCCTTTCATTGTTTTGTATGTAGAATACATAATCGGAGGCGCATAAACCTTGTGTCATGGCTAGAGTGGGCTACATGGGTACGGTTCGTTTGACCGTTTGACTTTTACAACGAATCCTAACTACCAAGCCTTGGCTTTTAATATTAATTAATAGCACTTTCTAAAGATCCTAACCTAGGGGGTAATGGCACCCAGTATTTTAGGCCGGCCTTTGAAACTAAGGTAGCACATTTCACTATTGCCTTGTTAAAAATCTTTCATAAAACCCACTTCGGGAAAAAATCGGTTCACGGGAAAAAAGTACAACACGTTCTTTCAGACCTAATAGTCACATTTGCCCTCGATTGAGTATCTGCATATGTTAGTCTGTAACATAATGAAATTAAAAAGGGAATTGATCTCATACCTTAGCAGTAGTACCGCTTTAAGTGTGCCACATTCCAGTTGTTTAGTAGTTGTGTACTGTTTCCCGACTCCAGTTTATACAAGCCTTTCCTGATTATTCTGCAACTCTATATGGTCCTTCCCAATTCGGGCCCACTTTCCCATCGTTTAGGTTCCTGGTGTGTAGCGTTAATTTCCTTAACACTAACTCTCCGACATGAAAATGTCGAAGGTTAGCTCTTCGGTTGTAGTACCTCCCTACTCATTGCTTCTGGATGGCCAACCGGACCAGGGCGACTTCCCGCCTTTCGTCCAATAATTCCAAGCTTATGGTCAAGGCCTCGCCATTTGACATTTTGGTAGCATACTAGAAACTGATGCTCGGTTCCCTTACCTCGACCGAGATTAAGGCTTCTGATCTGTATACTAGAGAGAATGAGATCACTCCGGTACTCAACTTCGAAGTCGTTCAGTGTGCCCACAAGACTTTGGGCAAGATTTCCTTCCACTTTACTTTCGAATCGGTCTGTCTCTTTTTCATGTTTTGGAGTATAGTTTTGTTCGTTGATTCTGCTTGCCTGTTACCACTAGGGTGGTAAGACGTTGATAATATCTTTTTGATTTTGTGGTCTTTAAAAAACTTACTTACCTTGCTGCCGATAAATTGTTTTTCATTGTCGCACACGATCTCAGTCGGTATCCTAAATAGACATATTATGTGATCCCAGATGAAGTCGACGACCTCTTTCTCATGGACCTTCTCGAACGCCTGAGCCTCGACCCACTTGGAAAAATAATCGGTCATGGGTAGTATGTATTGGGCTTTACGGGGCGCCCATGGCAGGGAACCGACAATGTCCTTCCCCTATTTCATAAACGGACATGGCGATAGGATCGGGTGAAGCATCTCTCTTGGTTGATGAATCATTGGGGCGTGTTTTTGCACTCGTTGCATTTTCGTATGAAGTCTTTTGCATCTTTATCTATTTTATTCCAGTAGTAACCGGCTCTGATTAACTTCCGAACCAGGGATTCTGCCCCTGAGTGGTTATCGAAAGTGCCCTCGTAGACCTCTCTCATGGCGTATTCGGTCTTTCCAGGACCCAGGCACCTAACTAGTGGGCCGAAGAAGGATCTTCTAAACAATTTCCCCTCGACCAAGCTGAACTTGGCAGCCTTGGTGTGCAGGGCTTTTGATTCCTTGGGATCCGATGGCAATTTTCCTGTCTTCAGGTAGTCTATGTATTTGTTTCTCCAATCCCATGTCAAACTTATCGAGTTTACCTCGGTGTGACCTTCTTCTACCATCGAGTTCATCAGCTGTACCACTACCCCCGAGTCGAATTCATCGGAGTCAACGGATGACCCCAAGTTGGTCAGTGCATCGGCCTCAATACTTTTATCCGATGTACGTGCTGCAAATTCCATTCCTTGAATTGGTATAGGGTCATCTGCAATTTGTCAAAGTACCTCCGCATCTGTTCCTCTTTCACTTCGAACGTTTCGTTGACTTGATTTATGACAAGGATGGAGTCACATTTGGCTTTGATCACTTCAGCCCCGAGGCTCTTAGTTAGTTCTAAACCTGTAATCATAGCTTCATACTCGGCTTCGTTGTTAGTCAATTTCACAGTTCTAATGGACTGCCTAATTGCGTTATCAGCAGATAGTTTTAATACGATACCAAGACCAGACCCTTTTGCGTTGGAGGCACCGTGCGTGAATAGGGTCCTGATCCCGAAGCTAGTCCCCAAAGTGAGCAACAATTCCCTTTCGACCTCAGGTATCAAGGACGGCATAAAGTCGTCCACAAAGTCCGCCAAAATCTGAGATTTTATGGTAGTCTGGGATTTGTACTCAATATCGTACCCACTAATTTCTACGGCCCATTTGACTAATCGGCCCGAGAGCTCAGGCTTATGCATGACATTCCTCAGCGAGTAAGAGGTCATGACACATATGTAGTGGCATTGAAAGTACGATTTTAATTTCCTAGAAGCGCTTAGTAAGGCAAGCGCTAATTTTTCTAGGTGAGGATACCTTGTTTCTAATAAATAGGAAATTATGTACCTTTTTCTTCCCGGAATAGGATACCACTTACCGCCACATTGGAAACCGCTAAGTAGAGGAACATTTGTTCGTCTGCCTTCAGAGTGTGAAGCAAAGGGGGGCTCGATAGGTATCGCTTGAGTTCTTCCAAAGCTTGCTGGTATTTCGAAATCCAGGAAAAATTGTTCTTCTTGTTCAATAGTGAGAAGAACTGATGACTCTTATCCGACGATCTCGAGATGAACCGAACCAACGCGGCTATTTGGCCGATCAATCTTTGTACTACCTTGACATTGTCGATTACGGTGATGTCCTCTGTGGCCTTTAATTTGTCGGGGTTGATCTCTATTCCTTGATTAGATACCATGAATCCGAGAAATTTGCCCGAGCTAGCCCCAAATGCGCACTTCTCCGGATTTAGAGTCATGTTGTACTTTCTCAATATGTCGAAGGTTTCCTGCAAATGTTTCAAATAGTCCTCATCATGCAAGGACTTGACCAACATATCGTCAATATAAACTTTCATTAATTTTCCTATTTGTTCTTCGAACATCCGATTGACTAGGCGTTGGTAAGTGGCACAGGCGTACTTTAATCCGAACGACATTACGTTATTGCAGTAGGTGCCGGATTTGGTTATGAAAGAAGTCTTTTCTAGATCGTCCGTGTCAATCCTCATTTGGTTGTACCTGGAATAGGCGTTGAGAAAACTGAGTATCTTGTGTCCGGCTGCCGCATCGATCATTTGATCGGTGTTAGGCAAAGGGAAAGAATTATTTGGACATGCTTCGTTTAGATCCTTATAATCTACACACATCCTAGTTTATTTTATTTTTAGAACCAATAAGGGAATTTAACTTCCCGATGGAACATATTTTAATAATTTTGGACACCTCACCCTTGATGAATATGTGTTTGATCTCGGACTATGGCCTTCTCGTCTGCTTAATCGGATGGAACTTCGGATCCAAGCTTAACTTGTGAGTGGTTACCCCCGGTGGAATTCCTGCCATGTCTAGATGGGACCAAGCAAAACAATTGGTGTTAGCTTTAAGAAAATCAATAAGTTTTTTCCTGAGCTCGGGGATTAACCCCGTACCGAGGTATACCTTTCGATCTAGTAGGTACTCGATCAATATAACTTGCTCCAACTCCTCGACCGTCAATTTGGTGGTGTGGGCATCGTCGGGTGCTATGAATGATCTCGGGACAAGGTAATCGTCTTCATCATTCTCTCCGCACTCTTTCTATTTTTTCCAGCTCGGCTGAGGCCGGTATCATTAATTTCTATTTAGTTTTTTTCTTTTTTGGTCGGTTTTGCTCTTTTTGATGTTGAAATTGTGGGCACCGGGATCACTTCATCGATAGAGAACATTTTCCTTGAGGCCAGCTATTCTTCATAAACCGTTTTGACTCATCCCGAAGTGGAAAACTTCAGTGCCTGGTGTAAGCCGAAGGCACCGCCCTCATGTTGTGGACCCACGGCCTTCCGAACAAAGCGTTGTACTTCATATCCCCTTCGATCACGTAGAACTTTGTTTCTTAGGTGGTCCCGGCAGTGTTTACCGGTAAAGTTATCTCACCTTTTGTGGTCTCGCACGCCATGTTGAATCCATTCAATACTCGGAATGCCGGTACGATTTGATATTGTAACCCCAGTTGCTCTATGACCCTCGATCTGATGATGTTGGCCGAGCTACCTGGATCAATCAATAAATGTTTAACCCGAGATATATTGATAAGTACAAATATTACCTATACATTGTTGTGAAGCTCTACGATGCCCTCACGTCTTTGTCGCTAAACGAGATGGCTCCTTCCAGGACGTAATCATGGGTGTATTTTTCTCTCGTGATAGATACTTTAGTGCATTTTATCATCGGCCCTTAGGGGACATCGGCTCCCCCAATAATCATGTTGATTACGTGATGAGGTTCCTCTTGTTCGACCTGTTTATTGGCATCCCTGTTTTTGAAGTGGTTTTTGGTTCGCTCGCTTAAGAATTCTCGAAGGTGTCCATTGCTAAACAATCGAGCAACTTCTTCTCTTAACTGTCGGCA